GGAAAAAAAAGTGATATTCAAGACTCTGGTGCTAAAAATTAAGAATGTTTTGTTGATTTGTCTGTTTATTTTTTATATGATCAAGTGACGCTTCCATAAAAGGCTATCTAAACCTGAGAGCTAGGAGAGAGTCATCATCAGTGCACCATATGCAGAAAGCAGTAGATAGGAGAGCTGAGGCAGAAAGGAAGAATGCGCTGAACAGAAAGCAGCAGAGACTAGAGAGGAAGAAAAGGCGCTGGTCCTCCAGAGGATTAGCTGTATTTGAGCAGCTCAGTACCCTTCTGTGACGCAGACAACAAAGTCACCGCCTCCAAAAGGGATAGGGAAAAAGGACTGGTCCTTGACTAAAAGCTCATGGTAATCACAAGTCTAGGGGCTTTTTGGCCAATGAGCAGCCATTTGAAGGCATATGGGAGAGAAGCACTTATTCCTAGTTTGAGACACCGGCAAGGAAGCGACACTTCGTCGCTGAAGTAATAGTGTCCATCGGGTCACCCAGGAATCTGTGAGTCCTCTGAAATACACACAGAATGTTGCGCCTATTTTTCTCTCTTTGCAGTATCTTTCTGCAAAAGAAGGTTCATAGATTCTACTAGATTTATGAAATGGTCTTACGTGAAATGGTCAAGAATCACTCTTTTACAGCAATTAAAGTTGCTCCTGGAAATACTAAATATTAAGGGAAGGTGAGAGGGTGGTGCTGATGCCAGCTCTTGTAAGCCTGGCTTGAATATGAAAGTTGATTAATATTTAGCAGAAGGATGAGGGCTGGACACGCAGAAGGAAAAGCCAAGCCCACACGGAAAGGGGTGACCTTTCCGGGCACTGGAAGATGAAGACAGACAATGCAAGTTATTGGGAAGGAATCATGCAGGTTCACCTCCTTAAACCCAACGGTGGAAAGAGGGAAGAAATTAAGAATTTTTCGTTAATTTATCTATTTTTTATATTACCAAGTAAAGCTATCATAATATAGGTACATATACAGATTAATCTGTATATTAATTATTTATATTTAGTAATATGAAATATTTCATATTTCAGTAATAATTACTGAAATATGAGGTATTCTTTTAAAAAGCCAAGGCAGGGCCGGGTGCAGTGGCTCACACCTGTAATCCCAGCACTTTATGAGGCCAAGGTGGGTGGAACACCTGAGATCATGAGCTCAAAACCAGCCTGACCAGCAAGGTGAAACCCTGTCTCTACTAAAAATAAAAAATATTAGCTGGGTGAGGGCATGCGTGCCTGCAATCCCAGCTGCTCAGGAGGCTGAGGCAGGAGAATCACTTGAACCTGGGTGGTTGGAATGAGCTGAGATTGTGCCACTGCACTCCAGCCTGGACATCAGAGCGAGACTCCATCTCAAAAAAAAAAAAAAAAAAAAATGCCAAGACAGTTACACAGCCCTGTGATTATCAGTGACAAACTTATACTTACTCACAACCAAAAGTAATAGTATCCACAAAAAATCACACACAGTATTATATTTTCAAAAGAGGATTCGAAAACAGCTTTAACAATGGCCTCTCTCAGAACTTAACGCTCACCATTCAGTGGATAACTGATCTTCACCTTCTGCTCATTATATGTTTTGGAAAGAAAAAAAAGAAAGTGTGATTCTTGAGAGCAAGAATAATATTATAAAAAGAAAATATTCATTTTCATATGATCGTGGAATAAAACAAGCTCTTTAAAAAAATAAAACGCTTTCGACCAAGAAAAAAATGAGAAAAAGCGTTTCCAGAGCTCTTGGCACTGAAGGGGTTAGGAGGTTTGTACATGTCACAAATCCTCCTGGCAAATGCTGGGGCCTGTGGATCTGAGGGCAGTGAACTCAGAGGAGCAGACACCCAGGAACCCCGCCCTGCCCCTTCCTGCTTCTCCCAGAATGCCTCTGCGGCCCTCTCCACTAGGGGCAATGTTTCACGTACAAGTCCGCTTAGAGAAAAGTGTCCCTTTCCCTGGTGCATCTTAATGTTTTGGGAGTGAGATAAATCCAATGCTAATTCTAAGATTAGGCTCCTTGGTACAGCAAGACCCATGGCTGTTCATGTCCCACACTATCACAGGGGCCCTGGTCCCAGCCTTGACCCTACTTCCCATGTATCTCAAACATCCTCCTGGGCACTCAGCTGGGTCTTTCACAGACAGCTGCTACCCCTTTAGGACTGAGTTTCCACACTGCTGTGATCTAAATGTGTCTCCCCAAAATTCAAATGTGGAAGCTTCATCTCTGATGTGATGGTATTACCAAGCGGGGCCTTAAGAGGTCATTAGGTCATGAGGGTGGAGCCCTCATGAAAGTTATTAATCAATTATGAGAGCCTTCACACACCACACTGGCTCCTTTGCCTTCCCTCCACTCGGCCATGTGAGGATACAGGGCTCAAGGCACATCTTAAAGCCAGAGACAAAGACTCCCATCCAGTGGACTGAAGTGATTTAAAAACAAAGTCCTAAAACTACACTTGTAAATTAATACAAAAAGGAAAAGAAGTAATAGGGTGAATACTATGTAAATTAAACTAGGTAACCTATGTCATTTTCAGCAGCTCCTGAGAAATTGCAATCTACAGATTGGAGAATTGACAGCCTATAAACCATTCCAATTTACTTATCTTGCGCTCATAGTTGAATGAGCCTATGTTTCATATTTTACAAATTTGTCATGAATGAAAGGGGAAAGTGAGGCACCTGTGACAGCATAAGCAAGAAGCAGCTGACTTCTACTGACCCCTGGCAACCCACCCATGCCAGTCAGCAATGCTGTCCTCCTCCAGCACATGCCAAGCACCAGGCTGCGCAGAGTTTCACTAGTTCAAATATTCTCCTGGGCAAGGATAACGACACAATGTTTAGGCTACAAAGACTCTGAGGGCTAATATCCCACATGCATGGAAGTAGCAAACAGAAAGGCCACTGAGTGAATGCGCAGTGCAGTCTCCCCAGCTGCTGTCTATCTGAAAGGCTCTCATACTTCACATTGGCCACTGCAAGGATGGGCAGTGGAGGCTACTACAGCTAACAGAACTACGATTTAGGAGGAATTTGGGGCAGGAAATTTCTAAGAAACATTTCAGGTACTCTAATCTGTGGCGAATTTACAAGTTAGCTGCCAATTGGGCAGTGGGACTCAACTTGCACAAGACGTCATCTCCCTAGCTTTATCCAATCTAGATAGTCTACCCAAAGGAAACATTTAAAATTCTAATAGGATTGAGTACATGGCCACAAGCCTATCTACGCCATCTCCGTGCTTCTCCTGGATGATTCTAGCAGCTGTGGGATTCCTGGCGGCTATACTGGCCTCTCCTCCTTGAAATACATCTTCCAGATGCCCGCCAGTTACTGTGCTAGGGAAGAGTCTCTTTTCAGGTCATCCTCCTGCTTTAGAGTTAAAAACAGAGTGAAGATCAGATTCCCTTGCATGACACACAGCCTCTTTCTGTTCTTTCTGTTCTCTTCTCCTGACACTCAGCCCCACACCTTCCTGCTTCCAGTCCCTCACCCCAGATGCCTCCTGCTGTTCCCATCATCTAGCCTCTTAAACTTCTAAGACCAGATCAAATGACATCTCTTATCAAGTGGCTTGTTGTGAGCCTTTCATTTCTCAGCTCTGTGTGCCCACAGCATTTAATCACGACTTCTATTCCCTCCCTCCTCTACCAAGCCCTTTCCACACTGATCACAGCAGCTCCCTGGCTCCCCCGCACTGTGTCAGGCTTTCCATGTATGGGTGCTGTTTCCATCATCTCAGCTCCCACCCCTACCTCAGGGCTGGATCTGAGCAGATGTGCAATATCGTAATACCCCTGACAACTGCAATGATAATATTATAATAAAACATCTACAGCTAACATTTATTGACTGCCTATGATGCAGGAGGAATGGGGCCAAGTATCTGATGCATTTTATGTAATTTAATCTTTAAACAATTCTGAGAAGGTGCTACTTTCTCATTTTATAGGTATTCTGAGATTTCAAACTGATTACTTTTCACAAGATCTTGGTACAATTGGGTGGTAGAACAGAGATTTAAACCAAGTCTTCATGAATCCAAATCAATGTCCTTTCCAAAAGAAATGTGCAAATTCAATCTGCAGGGTACTCTGATTTCTTTTAAATACATTACACATTTTCACAGTTTGATATTCCACATATGTGACAAATTCTATTGGCCCAGAAATATTTATAGCCTTGATTTTGTGAAGAAAGGCCTGATCTTGACAATTGGCTACAGAACTTATAATTTTAAGCTTCTTTGAAAGATTTCACGCAAATATACCTTAACATAATAATAAATCCATGTCTCCTATATTTAACCCACTACAGACAAAACTTCCTTGTGAAACATTTTGAAAAAAAAATATTTTTAAAGAAGGAAGGTTGGTGAGCATGCAGGGCAGTTGAAGCTCTTCCCTGGAAATGTTGTACACTTGTAGTTTCAATGAAGCTTCAAATCCCATATGTAGAAAAAATGACAGTGATACTTTACTGAAAGATACTAAGGTTGCAGTGAAAAAGCCCCGACTTAAATTTCCACCATGAATTTAGAACTATGACAAAGAATAATTTGTGTTTATTTTCACTACTTTCCTCTGCCTAAGAAGGCTTATGTGATGGGTCAGTTTATTTTCTGAATTTATATTAGAATGTATGGCCTCATATCAACAAAAGGGTTTTGCTTGGATTATCACAGAACATGAATGGGCTGGGCATGCTTTCTCTCTCCTCTCCTAACTGAAATGCAACTAGCAAGTTAATGGGAGGTAGCAATATTTCCATTTCCGAGGAGGTGGATAGAAAAAGGAGCAGAAAGGGGGATTTGAGTTTCTGGTGAATCCTGTCTTTAATATTAACCTTCTCCAACAATAACAATTACTAAAAGCTCTGCAACACCCCCAGGGAACCAAATCCCAGCTACACAAAATGAGCTTTAACACCTTTACCTCTCCTAAGAAATGTGTAAATCCAGGCAACATTTGCATACTTACTTTCTCAGTTTTTGTCTAATGTCTGAATCTTTAATTTCATTTTGAAGATCCTCGAAGGTCTTCACTGAAGTCAAATTACAGAAAACTCTGAAGTCACCATACGGTGGGATCCCGTGATCTCTACCCCTTTGAATGATGGTGGCAGCCGCGTCCACGGCCGCAAAATGGGCCGTGGAGAAGAGCCTGTGGGTCAGCTCCAGACTGAGAAGGTGGGAGGGTGCCCTCCGTTTAGGAGCCACGCCAAACAGCCCGCGGAGGACCGGGTCTATCCCCCCTTCCTTGATTATTCTGGACGGTGAAAAGAGCGCTTTGTGGAACGGAAGGTGGCCTTCGGAAATTTCACCGAAGGTGCCATTCAGTCGGTAGAGAACGGGATGGATGAATGTGTGGCCAAGTGTAAAGGCTGCAGTGGCAAAGGAGTTAATGATGCCCGCATTCACGCTGGGGTTGTAGCCTCGGTACCCCTTCAGCATCCGCGTGCCGGGGTCCCCCAGGACCTTGGGCAGCCAGTGGCTGTAGGTGATGTGCTGCAGCTCCGCGCCCACGATCTTCCTGGCTTCCTGGTAAAGCGTGTCTCCGTCCCAGTGGGGGTTCAGGGCGGACAGCTCCGTGGCCACCCTGTTGTGTTCCCGGAACCACAGGGTGTGCATGGCGGTCAGAGCCAGGTGCTCATTGGCCCGGCGGTCCCCGGCCAGGAAACAGGGGCTGTCCTGCTGCTGCCGCGCGCACGCGGTGGGCGCGTCTGCAGAAAAGGGCAGCAAGTGCTTCCCGGAAGGAGGCCAAGGCAGGCCTGTCCTCAGGAGTCCCCGAGGCGCCGAAGGGTCTCGGAGAGCCTGGGATTCCCGCTCCGAGCTCCCGTACACGCTGGAGCCATCGATGTAGGCTGTTTGCTGGTTGATCTGCTCTCGGGCGTGGACCGAATGCGCCCTCGCGGAGGGACGGCCGCCAGCACAGGCGGGGCTGGAGCGCGCGAAGGGCATGCAGGGCGCGTGCTGGGGGCCCGCGGGGAAGCACGGTGGGTCGTCGGTGCAGACGGAGCTGCACGGCCGCCCATCAGCGAAGCGGGCCGTGCTTAGCGCGGGCACCGTGTGGTCCAAGTCGTGCTCCAGAAACCGGCCCCAGTGCAGGAGCATGCGTGTGTGGCTGTGGTCGCGGGTGGCGGCCGCCGCGCGCGCCCACACGGTGGCGACCAGCCGGGGCGGCGGGAGGGGCTGGCGGGAGCCCACAGGGAGGCCGAGCTCCCGGGGCGCGCGGATGCCGTCCTGGTAGGCTGGCTGCAGCAGGCGCGCGAAGGCGGTGGGCGCCGCGCCCCACGTGGGCTGCTGCAGGTTGTTGCACGTGCCGTCGTGGGAGCGGTACTTCCCGTGGAAACACGGGTCGGAGCAGTTCGGCAGAAGCCCGCGAGCTGTGCATCCAGATAAGTTGGCGATGAGGCCGAGGGAGCGCGGGGACACCAAGTCATTGTACCGGAATTCTGAAAGGCAAGCAGGGAAAGCCGTGAGGAGGGATGGCCTGGGAGGGCGCGGGCAGCTTGGGAACCACCTCCCACCCCGCCCGCCCTGGGTGGACAGAGGCCTTTCTTACTTCCAACAACGTTTTGTTAGGTCGCAGCAAAAGGGGGGGGATCATTCTATAACACTCAAGGGTGATTCCGGAAGATCCCGAAATTACTTTTTTGTGCTGTTCATCTTGTACACAATGGCTAGGTGCTAGGAGTAAAATGGAAGAAGATCAGGTGCCAGCCAGACACTAAAAGATGTTTCCAGAAGATCCGGATCACTTTTGTACTGTTCATCTTGTAAACATTGGCTAACTGCTAGAAGGAGCAAGATGGAAGGAGCCCAGGTGCCAGCAGCCAGCTCCTCACTTCTATCTGTATCTTGGCAAGTACGATGCTGGCAGGGATATGTTCATCCACATCCCAGAATTGGTTTGTTGATTTTTTGTGTTAGTTTGTTTCCATTTCAGAATTTTTCTCTGAGGTTTTGTGCTTCTAGAGAATAAGGTCAAAGAAATGTCAATGTGGTTCATGTGAATATTAACTCACATGATATTTGACAAGGCGGGATTAAGCAGCAACTTTCTGAAGTACTATAAGCTGTCATTCCCTGGTAAATAGGAAACATAATAAGGGACATGCTGGGAGCTCTACCATTTAACAGGGCTTAAAATTCCAGAATTCTACCAATGCTGCAGACGGTTGACTAAGTCATACTAAAAGTTACCATTCCTGTTTAAACCTCAGAAACTGGCTAGCGACCATGGGACCATTTGCACTTTATCTGTGTTAGCCATTCCCTAGCTGGATCCTGAGGAATCTTAATCGTGGGGATTTAGATACCAGAATCTTCCTCTATCTTAAGATGTGGATACTGAGTTCACTTTTAGGACAAGATTCTCCTTGTTAGTGGGGGGTGGCAGGGAAGCCTTCAACTTGACACATAATGAAAGTGAGGTAAAAATAGCATAGCATTTTTTTTTCTTGGAAAAAGTATCCAAAGTTCTTGAGTACCTTAGATGAGAAGATATATTCAGTTTGGGAATGAGCATTGAAGCACATTTTAGCAAAACTAAATCTCTAGAGATATATGTTGCTTCTCATTTTCTAATTATGAATTTAAACAAAGTTATACCTGCAAATCATTTCTTCTTCCAATAGAAATAGGTGCGTATAGAACTCCAAGAGGGCCAGAAAGACACGCGGGCCTGACCTTTACCTGGAGCCTAAGGAAGAAGCAGAGCTGGGGTTTTTGCAGACCGGACCGTGCCCAACTCACACTTGGTATAGCTCAAAATCATGTACCCAGAAGTTTAAAGTGCTAATATGGACTAAAATGGAAATTTCACTGGATATTTTTGCTAAAAAAGCTTTGAAAACCCATCATGCTGGGTGACCAGGGACAGTCAAAAACCTGCTAGAGAAATTGTACAGAGCACTAAGGGCTGAGGCAAGCTCACAGGTAGGCCTTCTGCACCAAGCTTGGTTGATTTTCTGAAGGAGAACAAAGGAAGGATAAGCCGATAGAAGTTGATGCTGCACTCACAGCACAAATAGTGTATAGCAAAGAATCACGTTGACTTATTTCATTTTAAAGAGAACAACAGAGAAAACCTGAAAGCCTTTTATGTCATCTAATTTGACATTGACTAAGTAGATGTCTGGTTTTAAAAATACACAAGAACTTGAATATACCAAAAAGAAAACAAAAACACAAAACACAAAAGAAGTGAAGAGGGGTTATAAATATTACAAGTGGTAGGAGAAATTTTAAGTGAAGTCACTGAATGATTCAGGTGATTACAAGGGTAAGTAGAAGAATAGTCCCTTGGTAATAAAGCATTTCTCTATAAGACACAGTAATATCTTAGATTTGAAAGGCAAGTTCATTTAATATAGGTTCCCTAGATTTGTTCTCTATACACATAACTGTCAAAAGTTGAGACAAGTTTGAATATATATTTATCATCCTTACTTTGGAATTACAGTTCCTATGAGAAACATCTGCATTTATTTGGTAAAAGTAGTGAGTAAATTAATTTCTAAATCCCAAGAAGTTCTGGAGATTAAAAGTTCAGGGTCCACTGCTGAAATGGTGGTCAGTTTTGCTGTGGGCAGTAGGCTGAGAACAGAAAGGCTTTGCAGCTGACCTTTGCCTTCCAAGTCCACAGTGAGCCCCTGCTTTACGCGTTCCCGGATCAGCTGTAGTGTATGCTCAAAAATCTCCCCTGCTCTTGCCATTTCCACAATCAGTGGGTCACGCGGGTAATAAAACTGAGTTTGCAGGTCACTGGAGGTGCGAGGTTTTCTGCAAATGATAAAACACGTGATTCTTTGCAAGGCAACACTACAGAATCTGTGAAACTTAAAAATACTGTGCATTTAAGAAGGCATTTCCCAAACGTTCGAGAACAATGAAAGCTCCACCCCTACAATGGAAGCTCTACAGAGGACCTGTGGGTTCTTTTCCATATTTTGCTAACAACTTGATTCCAAATGTTAGTCCCAGTGCCGAATTCAAATATACATATACTTTTAATGAGTGGGTGATTTACACAATAGTTTTATGCAGTAAACAAGATCTATGATGAATGAATTCTAGGGGGCTCAGTAAACCTTCTGGAGCACTATGCAATACTCTCAGTCTGCTGGTCTTGGCATTTTGTATCTTCTCTTTCCCTGAGTGTAACCTCCTAGAAATTCCCACTTGCCTTTAGAATCCCATTCGGGCCTCACCGTCCCTGTAGAGTTTCTCTGAGAACTCTGACAAGCTATCAGACTCCGTCTTTTCTAGTACTCCTGTATCATTAAATACGTCTCTTACATACTCAGCAAGATGTACTTGAATTGCTGACATATTGTCTTCTCTGCTAAAGAAAGAACTAGGTTACTGATAAGATGTTGATCTATTATTCATTCCTCTTGTATCCCAAATACCAAGTCCACTGACCAGCACACACAAGCACACTTATAGAACTGAACTAAATACGTTAAAAAAAAATTGAAAAGCACTGAGAATGTGAAGCAAACTGCTTTAGAGATTTGGATCAACTGATTCATCTCATCCTCTATGTCTTGAATCTTAATAACTTGAGGTCAAAGAATAATAGTTATGACGCTGATAGCTCACTCTGGGTAAGCACTTTCTATTCTCCAGGCACTGGTGAAGCACTTTGTCCATATTATCTTATTTTTTCTTCCTAGCAAGCATATCCATGAAGTAGATCCTACTGTTATCCCAATTTTACAGGCAAGGAGCCTGAGGTACGGAGATGTTAAGTCACTTGCCCAAGGTCACCCAGACAGAAAGTGATAAAGTGAGGGATCAAGAAGAGAATAGAAATCAGCTGCATGACTCTAGAACATGCGTCCATGACCACAAAGCCACTCTATTTATGGATGTGCAGGAAGCCAAATGGGACTGAATTTGGGGTTTTACGATGTCCCTTTTGATGACTAACTGCAAATGCTGAATATATACTTTGTTCGATTATGATGAAACCAATGATCTTTTTTTGTTAATACATTCTGATGTTACAAACACAGAGAAGTTTATGGGATTGGAAGGTTTCACTAGTCCATAAACATTGCAATTCAAATAATAATGTAAAGTGCCAAATATCCTAAATATAATGTTTGTTGTAGGCTCCCAGTTTATACCGAGGTGTGTTCAACTTGATAATTATTCTCAATTCATGCATTGCAGGAGCCCTGCATCTGACACTGTTTGGTGGATGCTGAGGTAACAGAACCCATTGCCTAGTGCCTACTGTCAGACTGTATAGCACGGACCTTTGGCATAAATTAATGTCACTTAGATTATATGGGGAAGAAGTTTTCCCTTTTTTAGGGTGAACTGATAATGATGGCTAGCCCTGATGGGGACATACACACAAGGACTAAAGAAAGCATTCTTTTTCAATCTTATGCACTATAATGTGACTTATGGATATTATAAAAACAAGTAGAAAAGAAAACAAGTTTGCAATCTATATAAAATAAATTCTTACTGTGAAAACAAATGTCTTCGTGTGAAGTTAATTGCACTGTCAACTCTCTGTACAGCATCAAGAATGGAAGATTCAACGAAGTCATCGCCAGCTTGTCTGCCCTGTATAGCTTTGAAAATCAATTCCATGATTAAAAACATCAAACAAACCTTGCAGTTAGGAATGATATGATATAAATGGCATTACATTTTTAAGAGAAAACCTCTAAGACAATGAAAATGTTATAAATATCTACCTGATAATGCCCATTGCAGAGATGTAGGTAATTATCTTGAAGCAAAGCTTCATCTAATAATAACAGTGTTATTTAGGGAATTAATGTACTCCGAATTCTAGCAAGGCTATGTGAAATGCTTCCTTTTGAACAACTCTGATTCACGTGGGATCAAAGTTTGTCAGCAATTTGTCATCTTGGAGAGGGTGTGAAATATCTATCTCTTCGGCCACCTTGCTTCAATGTTAAACATTAAAGCAAAGTATCTATTCTCCCATCCCACAGAAGCTTCTTAGGGCAAGAATTTCCTATAAATCAGCAAGATTTATAGGAAAGTTAATTTATGCTTTTTCTATAGCTCTCCAATATGTGAAAATTCTGCAAAGTTGAATGTAGAGCTGATTATTTCCAATTTACTAAATCTCCTTCAAATATGTTTTAAGTTTAACCATAAAGAAACAAATACTAAGTAAAAAAATCTCAGCAAGATTTATAGGAAAGTTAATTTATGCTTTTTCTATAGCTCTTCAACATGTGACAATTCTGCAAAGTTGAATGTAGAGCTGATTATTTCCAATCTACTAAATCTCCTTCAAATATGGTTTAAGTTTAACCAAAAGAAACAAATACTAAATAAAAATCATTATGAATGAATATAGTTCATATCAGAGAAATACTCAGCACAGTATCTATTCCATTTTTGAGATATTAAAAGTACAGTAACATTTTGTATGACACAGACAAAACAATAACTTTTTAGCAGTGCTAAATATTGAGAGCAAGAGTTTAAAGGTGTATATTTGATGTATTATCAATAAGAACTCACAAGGAAGTAACTAATATAAGTCTAAGTCAAGGTGTTACCACAATATAGTATACAATTACATATGTGTATATCTATATATGTGTTTATATGCATATTTAAGCATATATATTTCACAATAGACAATAGATGGGCCCATATAGCATTAGCATTCTACATCTAGTTATTACAGGAAAATTCCTTTATATTATGACCATCTGTATTCCCTAGATTTTATTATCTTAAAATGATCACCAACATAAAACATTTCAAGAAAAAAAATACCAGTGGTATGGAACTATTATAAGGAAAGAATAAAATTGAGGACTTTACTGAAAACCCTCCTGAGCAAGCATGATTATGTGCAGCAATTATGAGTAACTAGTGGCTCCACTGTCAGGTCATTGCAGCCTTTATGATGACCACAAGATTGAGCCTTTACATGACCAGTGTTGTCTTTCCTGGTCCAAAAAAGTAGGTGGGATTGACCACATGTTAACTAAAGATAAATGAAAGAAAACAAAGATGGAAATTGATTAATTCAATTGTATGAAATTAACAATATCCTTTCAAGTAAGAACATGAACAAAAGAACTAACAGACAATGATACAAATAACTGACAATATTTGCAATCTCAAACTCTGATGCAGAGATATTTTATTTCATACAAACAAACCTTATAATACACTAAGAAAAAAATATATAGGCGAGTTGTAAAAGAGGAAAGCTCAAAAGTTAATAAGGAAATAACATGCTCAAAATCACTTGTAACCTCAAAAATGAAATTTAAAGTGTCAATAAACTACCATTTTATGCTTATTCCGGCAAAAAATAAAAAGCTGGTTAAAGCCAAAGATTGACAGGAGTGAGAGGACTAATAAATCCTCAGGCAGCTTGATGGGACTGTGGAATTAACACCTATTTTGGGGATTGCAAATTTAGAACCTTTTTTTTGGTAGGGGAGATGGCAGTTGTTACTTAGTAAAATTGCATAGGCACACATCCTCTCATCCAGCAATTCTAATCCCATGCATATACTCAGAAAAATTGTAATTGAAATCCATGAGGGTAGGTATGAGAATGTTTATTGCAACTTTGTGCAGTAGGAATTGCAGAAAATTGGTTGTATGGCAGTGGAAGCGTAGATGCATTAGTCTGTTCTCACATTGCTGTAAAGCACTACCTGAGACTGGGTAATTGACAAAGAACAGAGATTTAATTGTCTTACAGTTCCTCGGGCTATACAGGAAGCATAACTGGGGAGGCCTCAGGAAACTTACAATAGTGGCAGAAGGTGAAGAGGATGGAAGCACATGTTACATGACTAGAGCAGGAGAGAGAGCAAAGGCAGAGAGGCTGCACACTTTTAAACAACCAGATCTCATGAGAATTCATTCGCTATTACAAGAACAGCAGAGGGGAAATTCACCCCAATCACCTCCCACCAGGCCCCTCCTCCAACATTGGGGATTACAACTAGACATGTGATTTGGACAGGGACACAAATCCAAAGTATACCAGTGTGCAAGGAAAACGTGGTGATGTTCAACATGGAATATATGCAACAGTTAGAACTGTCTGTGCATACAGGGACAGACACTTAAAAGATGCTTAAGGTAAAAATTAGAAAACTAAAAACAGATTATCATAACATGGTTGAATTAAAATACATAATACTTAGATGTAGTATAGTTGTTACATATATAGCAAGGATGATGAAAGCTGAATATGGATATAGGAGGGAATTAATTCATTAGTTAACCAATTGAATAATCAATATAATTACTATGCTTATGTGAAAAGCAAATATTATAAATATAGCTACATTAGTCTGATTTTGTGTTCAAAAAAAGTCAGTAAGGATGAGCCTACTTAATTTGTTACTTTTACCTGAGAAATAAAGCAACTAAAATTAATCAAATCAATCTGTACTGGCATGCAAGGTGACTTGATTATTTAATCAAGGTATTAGCTTTTTCTTTGTCCCTTTTGCTCTTTCACTTTTCGACCTCAATGTAGAACGCAGCGTTAACTACATGCTTCTATTTGTGGCAAGCATTGTCATTGGGCCACTGCACCTGGGACAAAATATATTATCAAAGTTCTACTTGGATTTGGAAATAAGAAGGTTGTGTGCTAGGACTGAGTTACAGTACAGGACGTAATTGCTATGGAGATGCCAAAACTTAAAAAGCTATTCACTGTGGTGGACAGAAGTTGATATGAAGTATACATTTCAGGAAACTATAATTTAATATGTTAATATGAATTAGATTGATAATTTTGCATATTCTATTTATAAAATTGTTTGCTGTTATAGTTGTATAAGATTTACAAGCATAGGGATTTTATAGCACTTGTCTTCATCTTTTAGCTCATCCATAAAATAGAGCAAGTTTTGCTCTGCACAGTGCTCAGGGCTGGTGTGATTATCAGATAGCAAAGACATGTAAAGTTCTTTTAAAACTGCATGTCGCAATGCACATATAAGGTGGCTTTCATGATTATTGTGTTTTAAAACCTATCAGCAATCTATATCCTCACACGATCATCAATTGATACTGTATTATACTGTCATCTCCCTCCATATGATTTGCTATTTATCTATATGAATTAGAAGTCAACCAGTGTGTAAAAGTGAAAAGGAGAAGGAAATTTTTTAAATGGCATAGTAAGCAAATATTCTTTGAAATATTTAAAGTCTAAACTACACAAATAGAAAACACATAAAGTTGTTCACAGATTCATAGAAGCACATTAAACGTGTAATATATTCAAATGAAAACATTCTCGGCAACAAAGCTTTCTCGTTTTTGTGTTAGTTATGATTTTGTTAAGCTTATGTGGTTTTAAAATAAAACTAACTTTTATTATTCAATTGATTTCAGTGTTGTTCTATTTGATTTGGAACAAATTGTGAAAATATTTTTATAAATTTCTTCAGAACAGCACTATGTTATGTAAAGCAAATCCAATGTGTTGGGGGCACATTATACTTAATCAATACTGTTGTATTTATTTGTCTCAAAAATCACCTCCGTTAATGGTCTAAGGAAGAGAATACTCAGAAAATTCTGAGCATATTCTCCATCTTTTTATGCAAAATTTTACAGAAGTAGGGGAACCATCAGATCATTTTTCTTTGTTAAATCTCAGGGTTAAAAAAAATGAGAAAAAGTTCTCAGTAGATTTAAATAAACATAATTATATGTTAATAAACACAATTATATAATAAACACAATTTAATAAACATAATAAACATGTTTAAAGTTGTTGATGCACATTTACTTGCAATCCTATCCCTGTATCTATGAGGCTATCACGACTATTGATGATAAAATCAAATGGTAACATTGACCCCTTTCAGAAAAGGGGAGCTTAGGTCATGTGGCCACTCACTGCTCTGCAGTGAAAGGCCTGGCTCTGGATGACTTGGGGACTCAGCCTAGCAGTGGGATATGGAAATGAAACAGCTGTACTCCTCTGTCACCCTTGCTAAAAAATGCCCAGACTTCAAGGAAAGCTGAGATTATTTCAAAATTACCAACGGCGTTTTTGAGCATTTTTTGTCTTCCCTCTCTTTCCCCCTGGGAAAGAAAACTAGCAGATAATGTAGCTGTCATAACTAAATAGGCCTTATCATATTCAGTCTCTCCCTAAGAAGAATGATGCTAACACTGACACACATGAGGACTGTCCGAGGACACGAGAGACATGTCTGCAGCATACACATTGACAGTAATGGCTGCCCTTGTGAAATCATTTTCTTTCAACAGCAGAGAATCTGTCTTACTCACCACTTTGCGTCATTAAACATGGAAATGAGTTCATTGCCCTGGAGAGCTCCATTGTTTTTTCAGAGACCAGAAAAGGAAAGGCACCATCTACTTTGTTTAAGGTTTGGTACTTAGATTATGATATTTTATTTGTTTTCTCTATAACTTTTAAACTATTCAAACATTACAACGCTAAAAATCTGGAAATGCTACTTACAGATATTACAAGGTATGTGTTAAAATTTGAGAACATTTATCACAGGACAGAAGTATGTGGTCACTATATATTTTACGTATAAAATGGATGAGAAATGTGTTATTTTAACATAGTTAAAGGTAATATAAACATGTTTGTATGTGTACTAATAGACGCTGTTATTTACACAAGTATTTCCCCATTCATTGTATTATTAAAGCTTGACAAAAAATGAAATAGAAAATAAAATGAAAAGCTTGGCAAGATAGCAAAGATACATCATGTATCTCTTAACTAGTTCATAAACTAATTTATACTCTATTCAGGGTAAATTTTAAAATGTAGTAAAATAGCAATTTAAAACTCTTCAATACCAATTTCACTTCATTAATGTGAATAAATATAACTAATGAAAATATTTTGATACCTTATTGTTCACTCACAACTCTGCAACAACTTCAGTGGCTTAGAAATTGATGTTTGTCTACACCATGACAAATACTGGTATTAAAATGTCAAATAATTCAAATAGTGAATTGTTTATATACAGTTTTGAAAAATAACTAGAACTCACAAGAATTGAATAGGTTAATTAATGCGTAGCATTTGGAACACATGGTAAATGCTGAATAAATATTAACTCTTTTTTTTCTTTTTCTTTTTTCTTT